TGATGTAGCTCAGTTGGTAGAGCATGGTGCTTGCAATGTCAGGGTTGTGGGTTCGTTTCCCACGGGGGGCCAGTATGAAAATGTATGCACTCACTAACTATAAGAGCGTCTGCTAAATTACTAAAATGTAAATGTAAAATGAAAGTGGGGTTGGGGGGAAAACATTATAAAATACATGTACACAAACAACAAGTGTGCGGTTAAAATTGGCAAAAAACACACATTTCTTTCCACAGGGCCGTGGGGTGAAACAGGGATGCAGTTTAAGCCCCACCCTATTCAACGTATATATCAACGAATTGGCGAGGGCACTAGAACAGTCTGCAGCACCCGGCCTCACCCTACTAGAATCTGAAGTCAAATGTCTACTGTTTGCTGATGATCTGGTGCTTCTGTCACCAACCAAGGAGGACCTACAACAGCACCTAGATATTCTGCACAAATTCTGTCAGACCTGGGCCCTGACAGTAAATCTCAGTAAGACAAAAATAATGTTGTTCCAAAAAAGGTCCAGTTGCCAGGACCACAAATACAAATTCCATCTAGACACCGTTGCCCTAGAGAACACAACAAACTATACATACCTCGGCCTAAACATCAGCGCCACAGGTAACTTCCACAAAGCTGTGAACGATCTGAGAGACAAGGCAAGAAGGGCCTTCTATGTCATCAAAAGGAACATAAAATTCAACATACCAATTAGGATCTGGCTAAATATACTTGAATCAGTTATAGAACCCATTGCCCTTTATGGATGTGAGGTCTGGGGTCCGCTCACCAACCAAGAATTCACAAAATGGGACAAACACCAAATTGAGACTCTGCATGCAGAATTCTGCAAAAATATCCTCTGTGTACAACGAAAAACACTGAATAATGCATGCAGAACAGAATTAGGCCGATACCCACTAATTATCAAAATCCAGAAAAGATCCGTTAAATTCTATAACCACTTAAAAGGAAGTGATTCCCAAACCTTCCATAACAAAGCCATCACCTACAGAGAGATGAACCTGGAGAAGAGTCCCCTAAGTAAGCTGGTCCTGTGGCCCTGTTCACAAACACAAACAGACCCCACAGAGCCCCAGGACAGCAACACAATTAGAACCAACCAAATAATGAGAAAACAAAAAGAGAATTACTTGACACATTGGAAAGAATTAACAAAAAAACAGAGCAAACTAGAATGCTATTTGGCCCTAAACAGAGAGTACACAGTGGCAGAATACCTGACCACTGTGACTGACCCAAACTTAAGGAAAGCATTAACTATGTACAGACTCAGTGAACATAGCCTGTCTTCTCTTGAGAGCCAGGTCTGCCTACGGTGGCCTTTCTCAATAGCAAGGCTATGTGCACACTGCCCACAAAATGAGGTGGAAACTGAGCTGCACTTCCTAACCTCCTGCCAAATGTATGACCATATTAGAGACACATATTTCCCTCAGATTACAGAGATCCACAAAGATTTTGAAAACAAATCCAATTTTGATAAACTCCCTTATCTACTGAGTGAAAAACCACAGTGTGCCATCACAGCAGCAAGATTTGTGACCTGTTGCCACAAGAAAAGGGCAACCAGTGAAGAACAAACACCATTGTGGAAGAGCATGGCGCTTGCAACGCCAGGGTTGTGGGTTTGATTCCCACGGGAGGCCAGTATGAAAAAAATGTATGCACTCACTAACTGTAAGTCGCTCTGAATAAGAGCGTCTGCTAAATGACATAAATGTAAATGTAAATACAACCCGTATTTATGTTTATTTTTTTTCCCATTTGTACTTTAACTATTTTCACATTGTTACAACACTGTATATATACATAATATGACATTTTAAATGTCTTTATTCTTTTGGAACTTCTGAGTGTAATGTTCACTGTTAATGTTTATTGTTTATTTCTCTTTGGTTTACTATATACTTCACTTGCTTTGGCAATGTTAACATACGTTTCCCATGCCAATAAAGCCCTTAAATAAAATGTACATTTAATTGAATTGAGAGAGATGGAGGGAGGGAGGGAAGGAGAGCGAGAGTGACAGAGAGAGAGAGAGATGGAGAGAGAGAGAGACGGAGGGAGAGACGTGACAGAGTCTGACATGAAACTGGTCGTCATAGTATCCAAATCTTTGCTCTCTCCTCTCCAGGGAAACGACCTGACAGCGCTGGTGCCGACTGAGAGCTGATTACCACACACACTCTCACACACAGACACACACCTGGGACTCGAGAGCAGAGACGTAAACAACAGTTCAGGCATAGCCTGTGTCCACCACAGCAATCTCACACACACATACACTACAATCACATGCACATGCATGCATGCACACACTTCCAAACAATACTGTTAACCAAACAATACTGTCAATCAAACAATACTGTCAATCAACTAGAGAGGTAAACACACTCACACACACACCAGCACATAATCCCAAACAATATCTACCCTCAATCAACTACAGACAACTCACTCTCTGTCTCTTTCTTGCTCATACATACACACACACACACACACACACACACACACACACACACACACACACATACAGGGCATGGAGGGTCTTCATAAATCAAACTCACTCTTACACACACATACATACACACACTCTCAAACAATACCTCAATCAACTAGAGAGAACACACGCAGACACACAGGATTTCTGTCAGGAAAGTGGCAGTTCACCTTAAATGATCCCATAGCCTGCTGCAGTCTTGCCAAAGAACACATCTGAGAGACCGGGTTGATTTTCCAGTCCTCATCTCTCCTCAGAACTCTTTCAGACCAATCGCATTATATTACATCAGATTATATTTGAATAACACACAACGCTATTCCGTGGTTAACCATATCCTATGGCTGTGTGTGTGTGTGTGTGTGTGTGTGTGTGTGTGTGTGTGTGTGTGTGTGTGTGTTTACAGGAGGAGAGGGAAGAAGAAAGAGGGGACAAAGAGAGAGGGGAAGAAAATAAGTGAGAGATGCGCGCGCACACACACACACACCCGCTAGTCACAGTCTCTCACTTCCTCTTACTCAATCTGGATGGGCAAAGAGAGGATCAGGGATCAGCACCACGGATAGCGTACAGGAATGTTATGGTATGCGATAAGACCAAAACAGCCCTTTGCTACACGTTGGCTTGTCTGTCGTACTGACAAATCCACGAATCACATACTGTAGTTACAGTAAATAAAGCAGTACGTCACAGTATAGATACTATTAGTGTTGGGGGAAAAAAACATTTCTGAATTAGGCCTATAATAATATCCATTCCAAACCAGCCAGTCTGTATAATGTGTGGTCAGATGTGTTGATAATTCATAGAAAAGCAAAAAAGGTTGAGTAAATATTTTGTCCAAAATATTGGGTCATTGAAACTGAAACGGTTCATCCCCAGAATGAGGTAGCAAACAATGTACTATCTGTGATTTACAACCTAATAGCAAAATGTATTTGACTGCCTTGATATTTTAGACGGATATGATTATCTGTTCGTTTAATTTCTGCAAAGTAGTTGAAACGTCAATTTTAACAAATAGCTGATAGCACCGAACTATGAGGAAAACTATTTATGGTGTGTTTTTATAAATTATTGGTCGCTTGGCGCCTCCTAGTGGTTGTATCGACAATCGTCGATGAATGACCGATAAATCCATCGTTTCAAATTCGGTGTTGAATGATTTCTTTCCTGAGACACCTCGCCATCTTCTTACTACTTCTCTCTTTAATGTCGATGTGGACCTCCAGTTTGCTACATTGTCCTGCATGAATTCCATTGTATGAGGCTCACGCTCTGCCCAAAAGTAGCAGGTGTGACCTTGGAGGTAGGCCTAACAGTACATTTCCACATTACATGATGGGGAGATGAAACAACGGAGCCCCATGCATTTTAATCTGAGGGAAGCGAAGTGGGCGGGGAACCATTGGGCTATGCCAGCATGGGCTAGGGAACGTGAACATGGCTGGAACAAAGTTGGGGAAAGCTGAACTTTATGTAAATATTCTGCGACATCGCTTGCTATTTACCAATCGAAGCTCACTATAGCTTCCAGACCCTACTGAATTGGCTGATGATACCTAGCCTACTTGCTAACACCAACATGAGGGTGACGCTACCGTGGCTATCCAAATTATGATGTTGTGGAAATGCACTGTAAAACGAAAAAAACGGTGTTCCTGATGCCCCGTTGTAGTTCCTATGTTAGCCATATGTGTGGAAAGGTGTGTATAGAACTGTAGGCTGGCTATATCTTGTGTCTAAAACCGAAGTTAGTATTTAGGAAAAAACGATGTGCTGGTGCGGTCAAATTGGTAAAAACCATAAGGCCAATAGGCCATGGGGTATAGTGCGCTTTGAAAAAGGGTAGTCTACGGACTGGCAGAAAAACTAAGAGGATAATGGCCACCACTTAGTAAACGAAAAAGCAACATGGGGATCGTGGGGATTACTTTTCCCATCTAGGCACTCTGAGAACAGAAGGAGGAATGTCTTGATACAAAAGCCTATATTTACTTGGCATTTCAGTAGAAATATTTGAAAACTGCAGGACAAACGAACAGCTTGATATGGGTAGAGTTTTCACTCTGTAAGTGTTGCGATTTTCAAACTTTGACACCGTGATTGGTTCATGAGCCAATTCACTCACCACTGCTCAACCAATCAAATACAAGGGAACTAATTCGATGAATGTATATTCTAATGAATAGTGTAATTTGCAGTGGATTTCTTTCACATATCTCACTGTATTTATACACATGCATTAAATGTGTGACATTTCTCAACTCCTCTTAAGCTAGCCATATGCTCATCGTCATAGGCTAAAGAGGGCGATAATTAATCTACCATGTGGTTTAATTAACTAGAATAGAAAGGTAATGCTGCATTACTAACCCATGGTTATTCTATAAGTGTCATAATCAAATACAGCTGGGTGTTTAACCAGTAAACGTGTAGTGATGACCAGGATGGGTTTGACAATTAGTCACAAATGACTGTATCACTGCACAGGAGTTGCATCGCTGATTTAATGTATTAATAATTAGGCTACATTAATTAATCTGTAGCCAAACATCTTCTAATGCTAGTAATAAAGTCACTGAAGAATGCTAGCCTATCCAAAGCGCTATTATGCAGAAACGATCATCTCTAACATTGATAGCTACACAGACATTTACAAAAAGAAAACCTGCAGATTAAAATCACACATTTACACAAAGGAAGATACAATCTGAAATGGTTCATAAAAATATAATTTTAATGAACAAATATTTGGCAGTTTTCTTAAACCACTTCTGGAATGATTGTTGCACATTAATGAAAGACACATTTATCTTCAATAAAACAATTTACATTAATTTTCTAACTCCTAGGGAACTTTCACCTTTCAACACTTCCAAGCTTGTAATGTGCTGCTACTGTAAAAATGTATATTTTATTTGTAGATTTCACTGTTAGTGGCTCCATCCATTGGCTAGGAATGGGAGCATTAAAACTAACTTTAAACTATGGTGAGTAAAACACAGAGCATAAGGCTTGTGTGGGTGTGTGTGGACCTCTGGAAAGCCAATGAGCAGCCAGACAAGAAAGCAAAATATTCTTCTCCACTCTGATTGGTCTACTTGATCTCGACGCCCTGGATCCTGACGTCGCCCTCAAAGTGCATGTATTTATACTTCTCGTCTCCTTGGCGATTGGGGAAGTGGATCTCAGAGCCATCGGGAAGAGCAACTAGGAACTGCTCCTTGGTGAAAGTGATATTTATCTGAGAGAGAGAAGTAATTACACATTGTTATCTACAGAAGTGCTTAGGTATTTGGGATGCAGTGATTGCAAGTTATTGCCACCAGAGGCCCCTAGTAGAACTCCCTTACACAGGACATTCGCATCAGCATGGTTTAAATTAAAACACACACTCACATCCACCTGTGAGCACACAAACAGTGTAATTTCTCACCTTAAACTCCTCTCCCTGGTTGAAGGGGAATCCTCCCTCTCTGTGCTCCTCACACCACTTGCCTCCATGGTAGGAGTTACACACCACGGCCCGGGTGTCTCCGTGGGCGTCGAAGCGAGGGTTCATGTGCAGGGCGAAGTCATCCTCGCTGTTGCCCACGTTGATGACAAAACTACAGGAAGGGAAGAGGAGAGCACACAGACACAGAGAAGGGATAAGGAACATCCTTTAACCTACAGGGCAAGAGGGTCTGGATTGATAATTACACAGAAACGGCTTATAGCTATAATCTACTTTTTTATTGTAATTTGATAATGTATGTTGTGAATATGAACGGATCATTCTCATGATACAGTGACTAGTTTCTCTATGAGGTCTCTAGGCTGCTGACTGAGAAGTGGAGTGACAATTAACTGTGTTTGAAGGGGGTTAGCTACTCACTGTGCTGCATCAGAGTTAGGGATCCCGGTGATGGTCAGGGTCTGGCCCACCTTGAAGGACATGTTCTTTACCACAACACCCTGTAGAGGGGGAGAGAGAGGAGAGAGAGAGAGAGAGAGATAAATCCATCAATTGAAAAACATTACATGTGCAATTAGCAGATAGTTAATATGGAGTTGACCATAAATTATGGCCCATAACTTCTGAAACAAAGATGGTTCTATCAAACCATTGTTACAGTAAGTACCCACTTGGCACAGACATCAATTCAACATCTATTCCACGTTGGTTCAACGTAATTTCGTTAAAATGACGTGGAAACAACCAGTGTGTGCTCAGTGGGTATAGTGTAGATGTGGCTCATGGCTACACCTTGCTAAACCCTTTCCTGTACTTTTATTCTAGACCCATCAGTCTACCAAATACAACATCTGTCTCCAATTAAAGGTTTTCCATCTATGGAATGGCCCAGAGATTGCTATAACTCCCAGTCCTGGACAGAGTTCCCATTTTCCCTGCAGTGATTTGGAATTTGGAAGGAGAGGCTAAATCTGTCCATAAATGATGGGGGAAGGAAGTCTGGGTTACAGTCAGTAAGGGTGAAGTGAAGTCACATTTTCCGCAGGGCCCATATTATGGTGGGCAGCCAACATGGGACCAACGGAGGTTGGGCACGGCACAGAATCAAAGTACTGAGTGATCTTTACATGTGGCAGGAGAAATAGTGTTTAGATGATTGCAAATATACAGTTATCTTAATGAGCTGCATGTAGACCTCCTATTGTTGCCCTTCTGTCCATATGCCATGTATTGGCCGTGGTGTGTAGTAAATGTTACCCAGGCAACTCCCGCCAACTTCGGTCATTTCTGCCACTTGGCAACTCCCTGTTCCATCTCTGACAGAAGACATAGTTAGCCAGTTCAGATAAAGACCAGGTCGATAATATATAACCCTGGGCAACAGCAGCTAATCAGACAGGAACCTCAAAGGGAAACAACACCAACACTTGTACTTCAGTTTTGTTTCTGTCAGCAACAGTGGGCAGTGGACAAGAAAAACTGTCACACCTTACCCCTGAACATGTGTTTTAGCTTTCTTACTTGAATGCACTTCTTGTAAGTCACTGGGGGATAGGAGTGTGTCCTTAATGCTAACAGTGTAACTTTAAATGTACTGTATGTGCCTAATCATTGCTTACAAGACATATACAGTAGGACACAGTATTTGGCCTTTAACAGTGCAGAGCCAGACACAAACCCATTGACAACCAATCCAGAAATAGAACAACAGGATAATATAACATTAGAGCTCTGTTAGTTTTGGCAAGAGAGAGAGAGAGAGAGAGGAGTAGAAAGGGAGGGGTAGAGGGTGGAAGAGAGGACCGACAGACAGAAAGAAGAGTTTAAAAAATGAGAAATAGGGAAAGCGGTATAAAGTTCAAAGAGAGAGAGAGTGACGTGTGGCATTCTTTCCGCGCTAGTCCTCCCTCCTTAATGTAAACTGTGTGTAGTTAGTGTAAACTGTGTAATATCTATGGCGCTAGCTGGACTTGGCTGCATGCAGCCCAGCAGTACTCCAGACTGCAGTTCCCATCCCAGTGTGACATACCACCTCACTCTGTCTGAGAGACACGGGACAGCTGAGGCTGCAGCCAACGCAGAAATAGGATGGATAGAATGGATATACATAGTTTGGAAATCCACATGATAACTCCTGGCCCTATACGTTACTTACTATAAAGCTTACCTTACCAGGTCTGACTGACATGACAGACAATCTAGCCCTGGTTACCTGATGTTTACTTTAGGTATATCCTATAGCTCAGACTGGGGAAGATCATACTGGCTCACTGGATATAACATCACTGCTACTCTATCTAGTCTGACCTCTGCTTACGGTAACTTGAATCCATTTAGGTCTTAATTGAATTTACCCTGTTGCACTCCCAACGCATCTATGATTACCATGGTAACCACAAAACAGCCACGGTGAAACAAAGCCTTTATTATTATACACAGCCAGAGACCTCAGAGTGTTAACATACACACAGCCAAAGACCTCAGTGTGCTGTTCTGTAGCGAGGACTTCATGATCATAGTCTGATCAGAGGCTGTCTGTCCCACACTGGCTACTGTATCCACATAACTCCCAACCTGCCAACTGTATTGTACCCACACAACTAAATACATGTGGGTTTAAATTACACACCCTAAAAAGTGGTCTGGACCAAAGTCAATTTTATCAACACTCCTGGGGGTGCAGACATTGATAGCCTATACTTATGCTTATGGGTTCCCTGCTTTGCTATGGGTGTACCAAGCACCCCCATAGTTCAACCCATTCAAACCCTACTAGTACATACAGATTAGATCATCATATCTAAAGATCACATGGAAGGTATGAAGCGCATAAGGAACTATTTAGAAGACACAGGGATCTCATTATCCCCAAAACAAACATATCACTGCTGTCTTCTACATGCCTGCCCCACCCTGCCCTATGTCCACAACCTCTGTCATCAGTAGCAATTGCTATAAATTTAAATCATTCATTGAGAGAATAAAATGAACTTTTGCATATGATAGAACTACATATCCTATTGCAATGAAACACCCTTTGCATCTGTATTCACTACAGAACAATAAATAGTGCTATGTCAAAAAACCTAGCCTAAACAAGATAGTCAAGCCATCTAGCAAGCCAAAAGTCTGATTAGTCTTCTTAGACGCATTGACAACAAGGTTGACTATAAAAGGGCATCGTTAGAAAGGACATTATATTGGGCTACAGCACATAGGCTATTAAAATCTGAGCATTATTTTCCCAACAGCTGTTTAACAGCGCCAACATGAACAGTTATGAACTTGCACTGCATGTAGGCTACTTTTCAGATAACAATCAAATGAACTAACATACGCCAGTAAAATAAAGAAAAGTTGTACTTACACTCATCTTGACTACACAAACCGCAAATGTTCACAGAAGAATGCTTAGCTGGCGTCGGACTGCAGTAGAACCAAGCAGGCGGGCTTATATGGTCAAGTGTACTAGCCAAATGTGAGTGACGTTATGATAAACCAATAGGAGTATAGGCGCTCAAAACAGACCAATCACAGATACATTTTAAAAAGCGTTATAAACTATTTAGCACCCAAGAGAGGTCGAAATAAAACGTCCGTAGTTGAAGGTGATTGAGAGTGAGAAGATAATTAATGAAAGTTTATTTATGATATTAGATCTACTTATAATAACAATATATTTGGGTGAGTCAGAGGAAAGGATGTAGATGACCACAAGACCAGAGACACAAATAGAGATCACTTTCTTGTTGCCTGGGAGACAAAATATTTGGTGCCAGACAAACTTTTGTAGCTTTGGACTATGGGAAATTAAAATTGTAGCTTTTGGTTGAAACTTGGTTTTAAAATCATTGATCAAGTTTTATGTAGGCCTACATGGAAGAAAAAAAAGAGTAGTCACAAGCTGACGTCAAGATAGTCTTACAGGAGAGAATTTTGGCAGCAGGCCCCCATCAAACAAGAAACGGACTCTTATGACTGCCTCTGCCTCCCAGGAGCAATAAAGCAGAAATGCTTATTAGTAGTCAAAAGGTGGCATGATATTTCACCAACACAGAGTACATTTCCTGAACTAGCTTGTTGGGGGTAAAGTGGTCTATTTGTGACTTTGGCCAGTGGTGGGGCATCTGTGAGGTGTGTGTGAGAATGCTCTGGCGTGTGTGTAGGATGCAGGGAGAGAGAGGTGGGACCATTGGTTTGTTATGTGTATATGGGTGGGACTGAGCACTAGACTGATTAATTAGGACGTATCGCAGCAACGGGCTCTGTTTACACATCACTCATGTAAATAATCAACAAGACTCTCTCTCTCTCTTGCATACACACTGACCTCATGCACACACAAATAATCAACCCAGAAAACACATGTAATCAAATAATTCTCATAGACCCTACTCAGCACACAATGATCACATATCATTTTGACAATGTCACTGAGAGTCCACAGTTATCAGAAAATATGGGCTGCAATTGAACTGACCTAATTTGGCCCTGGACAAGATGACCGGGAAGATTTTAATTTACTGGACATTTGAGAAATTTCCCTGACATCCAAATGCATTCAGATCCGACTTGTCGCAGCCAGCCCCATCAATAAATGAGGCTTATTGGCCAAATTATCCATGTGTCCTTAAAAACAGCCCATAACAAAAACACGATTTCTTGTGTTTCGATGTGTAGGATATGCAAAACTTTATAGCTCATTTGTTTTAGTTTTTACTTTGCTAAAACAGTAATTGTCCACCTCATGTTTCAGCTGTCAGAGATTTGAGCACTAAATGCATTGGGGCATTGCATGCATAGGCCTATTGGCTTAGACGTCCACTGTATGAAATTAATTTAAAAACAAACGATAAAGGAAGAGAAGCCCCCGATAGAGAGTGATATGCCAGCGGCATGCTACAACACCAACATGCATTTCTTTATGTCACGTGGGTACTGCGTCTGCTATACAGATATAGGCTTACAGAATGAGGCTAGTTCGTAAATGTTCGATCACAATATTTTGTGTAAAGATAAGCCTTATATTGTTAGATTATAGAAGTAACTCTGGTAGGCCTAAAACGTTCTTCCTGACCTCAAGTTCAAAGGTCAGAATCAGTTGGAGCCCAGGTGCTCTCTGCCTTCATATCATAGGCCTGCAGTAGCTAAAGCTTAATAAGAGCCCCACTTGTTTTGAGCCCCACATTTTTTGCTAAAAAAAATAAATATACACGACCGGTCAAACGTTTTAGAACACCTACTCATTCAAGGGTTTTTCTTAATTTTTTACTATTTTCTACATTGCAGAATAATAGTGAAGACATAAAAACTATGAAATAACACAGAATCATGTAGTAACCATAAAAGTGTTAAACAAATCAAAATATATTTCAAATAGCCACCCTTTGCCTTGATGACAGCTTTGCACACTCTTGGCATTCTCAACCAGCTTCACCAGGAATGCTTTTCCAACAGTCTTGAAGGAGTTCCCACATATGCTGAGCACTTGTTTACTGCT